AAAAATTATTTTTTCAATTTTTTTACACAATTTTATTGCTTAGGAAGTTAGTTTACGCGTAAGTAATGGTCTTGCTGCTGTTGCGCGCGCGACAAGCACTGCTACCCCTGTGCGTCGCCGGGCTTATTTTAATCGTGGACAGAACGGACTGCCGAAACAGTGCTGCGCATGAGCTATTAACAGTTGCGTTTTGGTTTTCGTTAACTCGGCAGTTCCAGTGCAATGTTATTAAATTTCCACTTCAGTTTAGCTTTTATTAATATTAATCATGGATCCGGGCCGTCAGTTTCGCGATGACGCCAAGGATGAAATCACCTGCGTCCCTCGCGGCCGCGGGATTCGGCTGGCGGCCCGGCCGGCTTGCGGCACGCGGCGATGTGCAGCACCACCAGGCCCAGGCTGGGATTCCGCTGTAGAGGCTGCAGCTGCTCCATTGCGCGGAACATTGCCGCCAGCAGCACGGAGCAGGGTGGCTCGCGGCACGCGCAGGCTGGACGCCGAGCGTCGGGGCCCACCACCGGCGCCACCGCCAGGCGTGCGGGGGAGGGGGGGTGCAGAGCTGCCAGTTGTGGCGCGAGGCGGAGGGGTAGTGCAGGGTGCAGAGCTGCAATGGGCAGTGCGGCGCACTGCAGGGGGCACCATCAGATCAGCTGACACAGGTGGTACTGAGAACACAAAACGAACCTCACGAGAGTCAACCCGGGCGTGTCAGCGAATGAGTAAGCGACGGCAGTGGACGCCCCGCGCTCGCGCGGAGCTACTCACACCCGGCTCCCAGATAGAACAGGATTGAATCATACAGATTCTCGCGGCAGCGCAGGGCCACCTCCTCGTCGTAGAGCCGGCCACGAAGATAGCATAGGGTTCAGCGTGGGTTATTACGCTCAAGAATGGTGAGAAGCAAACCGTACGCAAGCCTGCATGCGGCACATTTCACGCGAAATAAAGGACGGGGACCCTATAAATTACTTCAAGTCTGTCGATGCACTGGTCCACGGAGTACTGCGGCCTCCACT